CCTGGGCATAGGACAGGGGGCGGTCTGAGCGTTTCCGCTTGCTCCAGCCGATGCACCGTGTAAGGAACTGGCGGTGGGTCCCATTGAGCTTCGTGTAGTGCTCCGCTGTTAGGCTCCACGAGGCGCACCCATACAGGAGAGTCTCCACCACTTCAGCCTGGAGTAGCCTAATTTTGCGCTGGCGGTTGGCCCGTCGCCTGTCGTACATCGAAGCACTGTTCCGGCGGTAGCACTTCCACGCTCGGCAGCTGCGGCTCGTGATCTCCCGGTCGGCCTTCCCGTCCGCGGAGATGGTACGTCCGAGGTACACAAACCGATCTGTCTGCTTGTACGTCTGGCCGGCGGCGCTGACCGTGAACGGGTGTTCCTCGATCCCTTTNCTCCGTCTTTGGCTCCGACACCATCAGTCCGAACAGGCCGGCCGCGCGCACGATGATTACGACATCATCTTCTCGAGACTCTCCGCCGAGCACGAGACGATGGCCGCGTCGTCAGCGTAGAGCATGGCCCACAAGGCCTCCGCGTCCGTCACCACCGTCGTCNGTCTTCTTCCCCGCCGACCTGCCCTTCTTGCCCGTGTACTCCACTTGTGTCCCGATCTTGACCATGTGTGTGCGGAGCCTGAGGTAGCGTGTGTTGTCAGAACTTGTTCAGATGATTGATGCGGATTATTTATTTGGAAACCGAAAAAGCATGAAACAGGCCCGCCAAACAGGCCCGCCAGATCTGTCGCCCATCATTGGACTCTGTCGTCTGCCCCTCTGGCCACTATCCTTAACTTCTACCAGCCAGACGACCGAACCGGGGTCACATAGGAGGGGTGGGTTGGACCCCCTTCTGCGGTTCCAGCCTGACATCGCGAGAAGGGTACAGCAATCCCTTCCCTCGCGACTTGCGGGTCGATCAAGTTTACTAACAACGAGCTTTGCAGCGCGTCGCTTCCAACGGAGACCAGGATTTAATTAGCGAGTAAAAACTCACTCTGTCGGGACTCGAACCCATGACCTGGCCCATAAGCAGGCTGCGAGGCTACCCACTAGACCACCGGGGCGATGTAGGGGTCGGATCCGACCCCTGAAATGTCTGGCCCTACATCTTTAAATTTGACCAGACCCGTCAAATATTTCGGGGGTCGGATCCGACCCCTGAAACGTCTGGCCCAAAATCTTGAAAATAGAGCAGACCCGCCAAACATTTCGGGGGTCGGATCCGACCCCCGATTGACATGCTCCGGACATATTTTGTATTGGGTTTTGAAGAAATGGTTGGTGGCAAGGACGTGCAAGTGATATACTTCCCAGAGAGAATCAGTGCAACAGCATTTAGTCTATATTTGGTCGCTACGGCTTTCAGGGAAACAGTAAAATATGATCAATAAGGACACAGGCTGCCCTCGTTGGGGGGAGGCCCAGGTCGCAGTAGTCTTTACCCACTACTAAGGGCTGTCGGTTCTCTTCGTTGAGATTTAGAGAGGAGAGGGTCTCAGAAGAGAGACAAAGAGAGAGCGAGAGAGAGTGCCGCCGAAGGGGCGAGGGAGACCAAGCCCGAGGGTCTCAGATTCCCAAGCTCCACAGGTCCGCGTCGAGTGTTGGATCAGTACGGTCATACGAAGGTACTGGGTAGAGAGAGATCGGAACGGTTTTGTGAAGACAATAACAACAACAACAGGTGGCGCCAAGAGGGACGCATCCATAGTCGGGTCTCTNCCGCGTCGAGTGTTGGATCAGTACGGTCATACGAAGGTACTGGGTAGAGAGAGATCGGAACGGTTTTGTGAAGACAATAACAACAACAACAGGTGGCGCCAAGAGGGACGCATCCATAGTCGGGTCTCTTGCTGGTCAACCATCAGTAAGATCCTCCGTTCGGATCGTAGTTTTGTATGTGCAACAACAATGGTTACAGCACTTGTACACCTGTCATCCACATCTATCTAAAAAATAGTTGTTTGAGTTCCGAGAAAAACATTTTCAGACGAATTTGATAGCGTGTATTTTCGATGCGCGGATCCGCGCGTAGTAGAAAGTATTTGCGCTTCCAAAATAATACTGTAGTGCTTCAGGTTTCTGTAGTGTATGACAGGTCATCGCTAGTCATCGCCTGACCTGCACAATGCATCCGCTCCCGATGATTGAGAAAAAAATCTGTAATTGAGATAAATAAGTTCGATCGGCGCACAACAATTGGCCAAAACGTTTCCTCTCATCACGCGAACGTGTACGTTAAAAGATTGAACGAAGGAAATATGGGGTTTGAGGTACGGGATTGAACCGTACATCACTGCAGCAGTAGTAAAGAAAGCAAGAAATTGTGGGGAAGTTTCATCGGGGGATTGGATAATAAGCAACGGCGCGGTGATGACGTAGTGGAGCAAGTACAATTTCAGCAGCAGCAGCAGCAAGCAGCAGTAAGTAAAGTGCACACTGCAGCTGCCTGCGCCTATGAGACCAAGGGGCGATCTGCCGTAGAGGTCACCGCGTGTGAGGAAAGGTCAGGGGTGGGCTTCGGCTAGGTGGTGATTGAGAGGAAAACCCTAGTATTGCCAGGCTTCGAAAAAACAAATTTCACGCGCATGCAAGAGAGCGCACAAAACAAGTTTTTTCCGACCCCTTATCCCCACCCCCCACCCCACCCTCTTCGGGAGGGCGTCCTCTTATGTTTTGCATGCCTTAGCGGTTAGACCATTGACCACGCGTCCTCGAGAGGACGGAGCATTGTTTCTACAGAACCGATCACCGATGGCCAATCGTTCCTTTCTACTTTGCCAAAGGTGGCTCAAAAATGTCTCGCCTAGTCTGTCTATCCTAACGCTATCCCTTCCCGCCTTTTCAACTCACCTGCTATGCCCCAGTACAACTACCGTCCTTTCCTCTCTATTCCATGCCTCAAACATCTCCCTGTACGTTCCATCTATTTTTCCCAGCTCAGTCACGTACACTTCCCTCTCCTTCTTGTACAACGGACATTCCGCGACTACATGAACACGGTCTTCGCATTCGAAGCCGCAATCACATTTGAACTCGTCGTCTTCCTCGTCTACCGTCCTATGTCTTCGTCGACGTTCTCGAAGGCCTATGTCCCCGGTCCTGAATTTGACCTTAAGCTTTGTTCCTGCATCCATTGGTCCATGTAGGTAGTCCTTGAACCCTATTCCTTCCTTCAACATTCCGTACACTTCTAGACCCTCCTTATCCTTGGATTCTTTCCTCAGATTCTGTTCTTCTCTCTCGGCACAAGCAACAGATATCTTCTCCTTGAACCCCTGTAGACCCTCCGTTTCCAGCGTTTCATCTTCGTCGATGTCGAGCCCCTTCCATACGTCCTCTACAACCTTGACCCATTCCGTGGGTTGTCTACCCCTCTTTTTGTTTGCCCACTTCGCCTCCCATACAATTCTCGGCAACCTCTCCTCTCCCATCCCGCACATGCGATACTGCCAGGTCAGCTTCCTCGCGTCTCTTCCCGACCGTAGGGATTGGATCCCCAATTCTGCCCTCACGGCTGCATTACTTGTGCGCGTGGAGCATCCTAGGATGATTTTCGCTGCTTTCATCTGCGCCGCCTCGAGTTCTTTCACTACCTTCTTATTTCCTTCCCATACTTCTCCGGCGTACTCTAGCGGCGGTACGATTACGCTCTTCAAAACCGTCAATTTGATGCGTGTATCGAGGTGCCGGTTTGCGAGTATTGGGTGCAGCTTCCCTGCTCGTGCTTTGCCCTTTTCCGCTACCTTGGACATGTGTGCATTCCACGAGCAGTCTTTTGCGATCTCTACTCCGAGGTATGTGTACTGGTCCACTACTGCAATCTCCTCGATCCCCCACTTCCATCTATGTTCTACTGCTTCCTCCTGATTCTCGTTGCATACCATGACGGCACTCTTCTTAACGTTGGCAGACAGTCTCCACTTATCAGTAAACTTTCGCCGCGTCAATTTGCAGTTGCAGTCCCTCAGGGGTGTCCGACATACCGACAAAATCATCCGCAAACAGCATTCCTGAAACCGA